TGAAAATATATGGGGGATAATTTTTTTTTTTTGTGGGGGGGGGGTGGGGGTAGCTGATAGGAATGCTGGGAAATGTTTGTATTTGTATTGTTCTGTGAAATGCCCTTTCCATGATGAACACCTTACATTAGGAAGCTAGTTATAAATTCGTGGTTGCCTTTTTTGTCTCGCTTGCTCATAGCAACCAAACTGAAAGATTCGTGCTTCCTTTTAACTTCTGCCCATGCTAAAAGAAGTACATCAGTCAGTATTAAAAATACGTCTCATCCATTTTTTTTTTTTGCATTAAATGTGCTGCGCAAGGGTATTACTAGATCAGTCTCTTGGCACATAACAATACTCCAGGATGTAGCCTGTCCACATAAAACACACGTGTATGTCATTTAGCAAAATATAATGTAACTCTTATCTAGGCATTGGAAAATAACTTGGAACTGGTTTGGAATATTCCTCTATTTTCCTGCATTGATTGATTGATTGATTGATTTTTCTTCTATGTAGCACTTGAATCAATATGAAAATTGTTGTGGGCTAAAAGAAGGATCGATCCTTACTCTCCTGAGTGATATCTGTGAGTATGATTCCAACTGCACACAACTACTGGCTTATATTTTGTAATAGAGTCATATGCAAACCACAACAAGCCATGATAACCAATCAGCATTTATTTTTCTAAGAACAAACTTTAAAGTGACATTAAACTCAGAAGTTAAGGGCGTGGCCGGGATGTGAGACTGAGCAGACGTGTCTCACTGCAGCTCCCGACATCCGTGCTACATCCTGACCCTTAGCTAGCTACAGAAGTTAAATCTGAAAAATACATTCAAGTACCTTAAATATTAAAGCGGACCTTTACCCTTCCTTTTAAAATACCAACAAACACACCTTTAGGAATGTTTGGAGCTTGGAGTGGTGACTACTTTACAACACACACAAGGACCATGGGGAACAAAAGTAGCCCCCCTCCAGAAGGAAGGACAGTGTCAGCACCAATTCAGAGATGATTGGAGGATCTACAGCCGAGTGATACACAAATAAGATACATTTTTGTTTTGTAGTTAAGGTTCTCAAATGCATTTTTAAGATTTAACTCCTGAGTTTAGTATCACTTTAAGGTAATCTAAATCCAAAAAATCTTACCAGTCCGCAGGCCTCATGCACACTAGCTGGCTGAGTTTAAACATAAGAGAAGTGATCTGGTAAGTATAAACAAATCTATGCTTCCCAGATCACTTTGTCCTGTGTTTAGTTGTTGCTGGGCTCACATGCATTTTACAAGTGTTTCGTTGTGTTAAACCGGGCTGAACAGGCCCGGGACGTAGAAATTTCTAGTTTGGGTAGACTGAGCTAGACTGAATGCACCTAGATGCTGCTGGACGTCCAGGTGTACATTCAGTCAGCTCCAAATGCACCTAGACTCATGTTTTTTTAACATAGTGTGCATGAGGCGTTCGATGTGGTGGCTGCACTAGTACAGAAACATTCCTTTTGATCCTGATAGAAACCCAGTGTGCTTACCAACTTCCTGTGGGCTGAACTGAAATCTCAAACATGGTTTTCAGCTTTCCCATCTATCCTCTGAACTACAAAAACAACTTCACGTAAGGTAATGAAGATGAGGAGAGCAGTTGTTTGTAGTTCAAATCAGGAGAGTTCCCTTGGGTGACAACGCTGCTCCTCCATAGACACAGTACAGTGAGTAGATAGTGTCACCCTAGCACAGGAATTGTGTTACTGACCGGATTGCCAGGTGAAAATAAACAAGATAAAGTCTGAAAAAAAACAAAAAACTAATGCAGCCACCACATCTAAGGACTGGTAAGCTGCAATGTATTACATTTTAGTTTTTGGGTTTAGATACGCTTTCACTAAACTCAAACTGCAAATCTTACATAGAATAAAACAAACTGCTGTCCTCTGGTGGCTGAGCTGTTCCTTGTGATCTTGTACTGGACAGGCAGCCCAGGGAAGCCGAGATGAGGGAGTTCGAGCTGTTTAGAAACATGATGACTGAAAGTGTTTGGGCAAAAATGTAAAGAAATATTTTGCTGGGCGATTTTATTTGTTTGATCCGGATTTATTATAAAAAAAAAGTTAGAGCGGTTAATGTTACTTCAAGGCCTCATTCACACGAGGAACGGCCGGCACATACAGCTCTGTGCTGCGTGCACGGCCGTATCGGGCAGCTCCCGGGAAGGACAGGTGCTGCGTGTGATTAGTACGCAGCCCCTGTCCTTCTCTCTGGGAGTATGCGGCCGTACGCCACCCTACGCTCACACCAAGTGCAGGTCCGTACGGGTGCGTGTGTCCCGGCTCGGACACAGACAGGATCCATCCTGACATCATACGAGTACGGACACCAAGTCCGCATGGACTTGCAGGGCGGGTGAGCGTAGGGCGGCGTATTGCCGCGTACTCCCAAAGAGAAGGACAGGGGCTGCATACTAATCACACTCAGCCCCAGTGCTTCCCCGGAGCTGCCCGATACGGCCGTGCACTCAGCACGGAGCTGTACGTGCCGGCTTTTTCTCGTGTGAATGAGGCCCAAGACATGGGTTAAGCCTTGCCTATTGTTGGAAGTAGGGGAAAATGGCAAAACCGTGCCCACAGACTCCTCCACTTCTTATTTACCTTTTACGTCTTATGAGCTTATTATCACTGATTATTGCTGCGGCGTTGCATATTGAACAGCATATTTTGCTTCTCTTACAGCTTCGGCTCTGCGGTATCTCCATGAGAATAGAATTATCCACAGAGATCTGAAGCCGGAGAACATCGTGCTGCAGCAAGGGGAGGGCAGGGTAAGTTACCATGTGACATAGTGCTGACGGATTATGAAAAGGAATTCCAGCTTATAACATTTAGGATACTTTTCATTTGGCTTTTAATAACAGGTGTTTGCCATACGATTGAGAGCTCATTCACTGAGGCGTGCACATTCGCATGGCGTGTATACCCATGCAGAGACCTGCTCACGGGAGGGACAGGTGCTGCATATATTTGAGTGCAGCCGACTGTAACTCTCTATGAGAGGACAGGGCTATACGCTGACCCAAACCTGCATATCCGTGCAAATCCGGGTGCCTACACTTGGGCACACAAGGTCTGCATCCAAGTGGGGGTGCCTGGACCTGCATGGATGTGAAGGTTCGGGACGGTGTGTAACCGTGTGCAGTCGCGTCCCCCCATAGAAATGTACAGGCGACTGCACGCAATTACGCGCAACACCTGACCCTCCTGGGAGCAGGTCCCTGCATGAGCGTGCACAATGAACAGATGTTCTATGAAGCATTGAAACAAGGATGCACCGATACTAGTACTCACCCAAACGCTCCGATACCACAATTTCCGGTCAGAAGGAGATCTCCCTCTGACTGGCAGTGCCGAGGGAGCATAGAGCCGGCTTCCTTTCCAATCAGGAAGCCGGGCGGTGGGTTATGACCTGCCTCCCTGCTTCCTGATTGGCTAGGAAGCCGGCTTGACATGTTGCTAAGCAGCCTGGCTTCCTAACCAATCAGAAAGCCTGGCGGTACGTAATGACCCGCCTCCCAGCTTCCCGATTGGTCAGGAAGCCAGGCTGCCTAGGAACAAGTGAAGCCAGCTTCCTTGCCAATCGGGAGGCGGGTCATGACGTGCCGCCCGGCTTCCTGATTGGATAGGAAGCCAGCTTCACTTGTTGACAGGCAGCCTGGCTTCCTAACCAATCAGGAAGCCGGGCAGCACATCATGCCTCGCGTCCTGGCTTCCTGATCGGTCAGGAAGCCAGGCAGCTAGAACATCGGCTTCACAGGTAATCAGGAAGCTGGGTGACGGATCATGATCCACCGCCCGACTTCCTGATAATCGGGGCACAAGGCACCGGTACACTGTATCGGCGAGTACTGAAAAAAAATATCCGTATTCGATACCGAAAAAACGGTATCGGTGCATCCCTAATTGAAACCACTTTGCAAGTGCGGTGTTTGCTATTGCAAATGTAAGTGAATACATTGGTGGCCATTCACATTTGCATCGCTGTGCTTTGATTTTGCCACTGCGAGCAACGTTCATCAGGCATTGAAGCCTTTGGATACATTGCATTGTTGATGGTCTATAATTCTGGAGGGAGGGTTGATGTGGGTAGTTGTTGATTGGTACCAAAAAAGCCTGTAAAGTGCTTGCTGAAGGTGTCACAAGCACTAGTCTGCACTTGCTAAATGTATGGAACGCTGATGCCAAATGTCTTTGTGAACAATCCCTTAATGGAGAATACAAAGATGCTAGAGCTGCTGTTATTTTATTATATACTAATAACCTTTTACCCTTTAACTTCACAGCAGCTCAGCTCCCCCTGCTCCCCCTTCCCAGCAGTGATTCAGCATTCCAGCTACCCTTACTTTCCTCTCCAACAGTAACTAAGCATCTGATCCCCCCTTTCTTAGCAATGACTTAGCATCTCAGCTCCCCTTCTCCCCCCTCTAAAACCTCCGCTCGCCTTGATTCCACTAAAAGCATTGACTTTCATTCTGTAATGCAAACACAGAACAAGAACACAGCAGCTCAACTCCTCCTGCTTCACCTTCCCAGCAGCGATTCCGCATCCCAGCTGCCCTTGCTCCCTCTCCAACAGTAATTAAGTATCCCAACAACCCCCTTTACAGCTGTGAATCCGCATGCCTGCTTCTCTGCTCCCCTTGCCCCCTTGCCAGCAGTATTTAAATATCCCAACAACCCCCTTTCCAGCTGTGACACCGCATGCCTGCTTCTCTGCTCCCCTTGCTCCCTCGCCAGCAGTATTTAATATCCCAACAACCCCCTTTCCAGCTGTGACTCCGCTTCCCTGCTCCCCTTGCTTCCTCTCCAGCAGTAATTAAGTATCCCAGCTCCCCTTTCCAGCTATGACTCTGCATCCCTGCTCCCCTTCCTCTCCAGCAGCATTTAAAGGAGAACTATGGGGTTAAGGCTTTTCCCCATAGTTCTCCTTAGGGTACCGGGAGGACACAAACTAGCGTCCTCCCGTCACCCTAAGCTCAGTATACCGCGAGCTGTAGACGCCACAGTACACCGCGAGCAGTAGCTATACAGCTATACTCGGCTATACTGAGACGGCGCAGCTGAAGCAGATCCCGACAATTATGTCTGGATCCGCCCAGATGCGTGAGTGACAGCCGTCTCCTCCCCTGTCCGTTCCGCCAGTCAGTGCTGGCGGATCGGGGAGGGGGGAATCCAGCTCCTCCCCTATCACGGCAGAGAGCCGTGACAGGATCCAGAGGTGAGCGAACGCCGGTATGTGTTCGCTCACCTCCCAATCTACTGAACCGACCTGTGACAGTCTCATTGTCACAGGTCGGCTAGAACTATGAGGTGAGTGGAAATCACTCGCCTCATAGTTCTCCTTTAAGTATCCCAGCTCCCGCTGTCCAGCTGTGACTCCGCATAGCTGCTTCCATGCTCCCCTTGCTCCCTCTCCAGCAGTATTTAAGCATCCCAGCTCCCCCTGCCCCCCTACCAGCACAGTCTCAACATCTCCGCTCGCCTTGCTTCCCCTACCAGCAGTGACGTATCAGCCTTTACTTCTTTACTGTAAAAACAAAACAGAACAGAAGCTCTTGTAGGTTCAATAGGAAGAAATATGCTGCTGATAGAAGAAATTTAGAGCTTCTGCTGTGAAGTTTGAGGATATATCGCCCCATAGTGCCTGCAGCTACAGGGGTCAGCCAAGGATTGTTTGAAAGCTCATTTACGTGCTAACAATATGTGCAGTAAATACTAGGGATGCACCGATACTTTCCAAGTTCCAATGCCGATACTTGTCATTTTCATGAGAACTACCAGGGTTGCAGCGGTTGCAGCTGGGACCTGGCTCTGGCGCTCCACCACTGTCCTGAAATCATTAGTCTGTATTGTTTTAGAAAAACTGTCACATGACAATAAATAAAAATGTATCAGTACTCGTATCTGTGAGTACTTGGGCAAGTATCAGTACCTGTGCTTGGAAAAATGGTGGTATCGGTGCATCCTTTTATATCTGTTTATAAAAACAAAATCATACATTATGACAGAGATGTACAAATCCCGGGAGCTCCGTGTGCTCCTTACTAATGACAGCCGCCTCCTAACGTTTAAATTTTTCTCTAGTCTAGTCTTGGAGCTCGAAGAGTATCTGTACTTGTACCGAGCACTGTACTTGGTATCAGTGCATCCCTAGTAAATACCTAAATGTCCAAAGGCTGGCCACAGATTTACTGTAAATATCCCTTTATCAAAAAGGACAGAATAAAGGTTTCAAAGAATCATTTTCATTTTTTTTTTTTTTCATCTGTATTTTGTAAATTTCTCATTTCTAGCTGATTCATAAGATAATAGACTTGGGGTATGCCAAGGAACTGGACCAGGGCAGTCTCTGCACCTCCTTTGTGGGCACCCTGCAGTATCTGGTAAGTAGCCAACTCCTCTAAAGTATGCAAGAATGTATGTGAGCCATTCTGATGGGAATGTGGAAGTACTCGGGGTGGGGTTCAACAGGGAAGTTCAAGTAAGTAATATACTATTTCTATTCATCCCGCCACACACAGATATACAGAATACATTCAGATGAAGGTCATTTTAAAACCTTAAAGAGGAACTTTACCTTTTATCTTTGAAATGACAACAAACTCGCCTTTAGAAAACTTTTGTAATGACAATCTACAAACAGATACTTCTAGATAATTGCTGGCGTTGTATTCTTTACATACCTTATTTCTCTTTTCCTCCCCATTCTTCTCACTGTGGCCATTGCTTTACTAAGGGCAGATCAATCTATCTCCCTTTACTTCCTGGAACTCTGGCACATGTGACTAGGACATGTGACCATGCACATCATCTCAGGGGAGGAAAATGCCTTTCCCTGCGATCTCGTGAGATTACAGATGAGATTTCCGGGCAATGCTCTGCTGATGTAACCTTTCCAGGGTGCAATGCTTGGGCACGATTACATCACTTTTGCCAAAGAGGGCCAGGAAGTGGAAAAAAGAAAATTGTAAGTAAAAATTGTTTAAAGGAGAACTATGAGGTGAGTGCTTTTCAGTCACCTCATAGTTCCAGCCGACCTGTGACAATAAGACTGTCACAGGTTCGCCCACCTCTCGATCCTGTCACGGCTCTCTGCCGTGATAGGGGAGGGGCTGGATTCCCCGCTCCGATCCGCCAGCGCTGACTGGCAGAACGGACGGGGGACTGGCGGGTACAGCTGGCTCTGCCTCTAGATAGCCAGAGCCATCTGTCAGTCACGCAGCTGGGCGGATCCCGGCATAATTGTCGGGATCCGCTTCAGCTGCGGCGTCTCAGTATACCGCGAGCAGCAGCTCGCGGTATACTGAGCCTAGGGTGACGGGAGGACGCTAGTTTGTGTCCTCCCGTTACCCTAAGGAGAACTATGGGGAAAAGCCTTAACCCCATAGTTCTCCTTTAAGCTAACTAATGTGAGATGATTTCATATCAGCATTCAGAGCTGTGTGCTGATGTAATTTTTAGTGTGTGCTGTAAAGTAGTCACCGCTCCAAGCTTGCTCCTGGGATGGACTACAATCTCAGGTTTAGTTTACTGAACCTGTACTGATATTGTAGTCCATCCCAGGAGCGAGCTTGGAGCGGTGACTACTTTACAACACACACAGGAACCATGGGGAACAAAAGTAGCCACCGTTCCAGAAGGAAGGACAGTGTCAGCCCCAATTCAGAGATGATTGGAGGATCTACAGCCGAGTGATACACAAATAAGATACATTGTTGTTCATAATGAAAAAGTTTTTTTTTTTAAACGCTTTAACAGCGGTTTAAACTTACCCCGTCTCCAAAGCGCGCTCCCGTCAGGAAATCCGAAACTGCTCGGGCAGCCGCAAAGCATCTTGGGGCGGGCGCATGCGCAGTTCGGATTTTCGGCCGGGAGATGAGGAGAGACACAAGGTAAGTCTATGGACGCGTGCACCCGCATGCAGACACCGTGGGACAGGAAGTGCCAGCAAGGACAGAGGAGTCAGCGCTGGATCGGAGAGCCGCCGCACCGCTGGAGGGACAGATGAAAACATCAGGAAAGAAGAAGATGATCGGATTAAGAGACATCATTTAAGGTAAGTGCTGACACTAACATTGGGGGGAGGGAAAAAATAATTTGACTTTAATGTCACTTTAAGGTACCTGAATGTATTTTTAAGATTTAACTCCTGAGTGTAGTGTCACTTTAACCGAATATGTCTGCTAATGTTTGTTTGTGGCAGCTTCTGTGGGAAAGGAAACGCACGCTGAAACGGTTGTTTATAAATCTATTCTAGCACGGCCAAAGCTCTGCAAGGGCTTTTGAAGAAAGAATTTCTCATAGCTTAGTCATCATTATCAAACAGGAAATCTAAGTGGAAAACATTTAACCTCATAGTTCCGGCTAAAGAAAAAACTGAATTGGGGACTTGTTTGAGAACATGAAGTAGTGTCATTGTGGTGGTCGGGGGGGAATTATCAAGATTTCTGCAGGAAAACACAATACAGAAGAAGAGAGAAACATTTATGAACATTGTAACTTCTTTTATGCCTATCTGAAATGGAGCCGGTGTTCTGTCAAACTGCAACTCCTCCAGACCTCCAACAACCTGATTTCCGGTTTAGTTAGAAGTAAGAGGTTTGGTCGAGAAGGCTCTACTGCACGTGCGCCACCCGCTGCATTTCCCTATACACATACTACACAGCGATAAAGCGATAAAGTATTATAATGAACTATCGTCAGACTAATCTTACTTCTAACTAAACCGGAAGTCAGGTCTTTGGAGAACTCGACGAGTTGGAACTTTCGATAGAACACCGGGTGTAAAATGTTCACCTGCCCGAATGGGAAATAATGCTGCAATATAGACGTACATTTGTTGCATGTGTATGGACAGCTTTATGATCACATGATGGTGCAAATCTATTCATAAGGGAGTCACAGCTTTCATATACAAGTACAGAAGGACCCCAGACTGCTGTGTTTTTTTCCCACACTTGCTGGGTGCCATCCTCGGTATTTAGTTCTGTTACTCGTTCTGTTTCAGGCCCCGGAATTATTGGAACAGCAGAAGTACACGGTCACTGTGGATTACTGGAGTTTCGGCACCCTGACGTTTGAATGTATTACAGGATTTCGGCCTTTTCTTCCCAACTGGCAGCCAGTGCAGTGGTAAGGAAATCCTTCTATTTTAGGTGGCTGGTATAGTGTCATCACCTGCATACCAGGGACTTCGAGGGGAGGATTTATAAGACTTCAGCTTATGTCATATGCTGGGCGAATGCCATTTGCATGGAATTCCCACCACTGGATGGCATAGGAATTGCCACAAAAAGCATTACCATGCAGCCATATTTCAGAGAACGCCTTTGTTTGTCTCCTATGTGTTCCTATTCACACATCATAACTAAAAAAAAATATGTATCCTCCATTCAATGTGTCTGTGTAGCTGGAGCCATTGTAGCTTCTTTGTACAATTTCTAAAAGATAGGAAACGCCTTCTGTCCCCATAAAAAGTCTAGGGACACTCTGAGCTTCATGTCATGAACATACAATGCTACAAGATCTTTAACCCTTTGCTAGGACAGAAGATGTTCAGATCTGGTTTACAACTGTTGTCGTACCATGTCACGCTGCACTGCACTCAAAAAACCGCACTGAGTCCTTCTGGAACAAGGCATATTACTAGGGATGCACCGATACCAATACTAGTATCAGTGCCGATAGCCAGTATTTGGGTAACTTATACTCGCCCAAATGTTCTAATACCTTTTCGAATACTGTGCCGTAGGGGAACATGGAGCCGGCTTTCTGGGCAATCAGGAAGCCCGGGTGGCGAGTAATGACCTGCCTCCCGGCTTCCTGATTGGCCAGGAAGCCATCTCCATGCTTATTGGCTGGAAAGCTGGCTTCCCAGGCCAATCAGCATCGAGCCTGCTGAACAGCCGGCTCCTTGCTTATTGGCTGGGAAGCCGGTTTCCCGGCCAATCACAATCAAACTGGCCAAACAACATGGAGCCGGCTTCCTTATTGCCCGGGAAGCTTGCTCCATGCCAGCGGAAGTATCGGTATTTGATATCGGCTGGTACCGAAAGCAAAATATCTGTACTCATTCTAGATACCGAAAAACCGGTATCGGTGCATCCCTACTTATTACCTTGCCTTGCATTGCAGCTGCACTGGAAAAAACACCCAGCGCAGCCCCAATGTATTGGGTGAGAGCGGGCTGGGTGAGGTAAAGCTAGATTGGGCTATTATGTTGGAAGCAGTCTTTAGTGTACTATTATGTTATAATCTTTCCCATTGAAATTACATTTGTGTATTATTGGTGCTCAGGCATGCAAAGGTACGAGAAAAAAGCAATGAACACATTGTGGTGTACGAAGATCTGTCAGAATCAGCGAGGTTCTCCAGTGTTCTGCCAACGCCCAATCACCTGAACCCGTAAGACTGACCCTGATTGATTGTTTACTGTATTGTTATCTGCCTCCATACCATGCCTATGATCCTATTTATGGGCATCTCTGACTTGGTAGGAAATGTTTTAGTTCCATGTTTGTGTGTCCCTAAAGCGGAATTAAACTGCGGTGAGGACAGCCAGCATTTGCCGTAACATGCAAGTGTCTCCTCCAGTGATATGAGCTCCCCGCATCCACTCTGCCCCCACCGATGCCATGTTATCTGCCTCCAGGTCCGTCGTCTTGCTTCACCCATTGGGGCAGGCACTGATGATGTAACTCCTGCGCCTCCTCCAGTGATGTGAGCTCCCCGCATCCACTCTGCCCCCACCGATGCCATGTTATCTCCCTCTAGGTCCGTCGTCTTGCTTCACCCATTGGTGCAGGCACTGATGATGTAACTCCTGCGGGTGCTTGCTGGAGTTGCGTCATTTCATCACCCGCCTTCTTTCCTGACATCTGTACATTGTACTGAACATGTGGCGCAGTCAGTGTGCAGATAATAAATAATTTGCTACCAGGTACATAAGAGTTTTTATGGCATGAGGGACTGATGCATTCTACTCTACCTAAAGACCTCACCCGCTGGAACATTTCATTTAAAAGACTTGAAAGTAACATGCCAAGTTTGCATCATATTTATTTCTCTTAAACCAATGGTTCTCAACCTGTGTAACCTCAGGACCCACATTTGCCCTTGGTCATTAAGTCGCGACCCAAGTCGCACTGCAATAGGATGTGCGACATTAGGGTACCGCGCGTTTTGGTGCGGGCATATGAACTGTGGGTGGGAGGCGCGTTCGGGGTATCATTCAAATGAATGGCAATGCAACATACCTCCCACAACCAGAATGCACGGTGCTTTACAGTGCATTCATTGCATAGCAACAACTGACACGATCTTACACGCTCACAGACATTCTCACAGACACGCCAAAAAGGTTTTTATTAAATTAAATTTTTTTTTAAGGTTCACCCAGTCTCCCTACCTTATGAGAACTGGAGTGGATCCTTAGCCTGGGGTCCCGTGTGGGCTGCTGTGCTGTGACGAAGCTCCATCCATATGTGCATTGCTTGTACAGCTCCCTTGAGTGCCCTGTAGAGGTGTCGGGAGCCAGAATGTGATGTCACCATGACACTTCTATAGGAGGGGGGGTGTAAGCCGTGCACTTATGAGCTCCCTCGCGGCCATAGCCTCACCCCACCTCAAGCTGACACTCAGCGCCGGGCAGCATATTTTGAAATGGCTGCTTGGCGAGAGAACTGACAGTGCTGCGCTAGGGGCACTGTCAGGCCTCTCGCCTAGAAAAGTGGAAAGCATGCGGTGACCCACTGAAAATGGGGTTTCCGGGTCACGACCCGCCAGTTGCGAACCAAGGTCTTAAAGGATATCTAAACCCAAGAACAAACATGTGATCTATTACAGCTTACCAGTTTTATATGTGGTGGCTGCATTCGTTTTCATTTTTCAGCAAGTACAGGAAATACCTGCCAATCTTGCCAGAAATGCCATGTCCTTGTCCATTCATGTGAGCTGAAAGCATGAAAACAATCTGATCTTCTTTCTCGAAACTACTAATTTCCCCATCCTCCATGTACTGTATATTAAAGGAGAAGAATCAGGAGAGTAAAATATATACTTGGAGCCAGCACATTTCTGCAGCTGTCGCATACTGTATCTATACATCGAGAGCTGAGCGATCATGTGACTGCTGATCGCTCAGCTCACGGTCTTCCCCTGCAGAGAATGGTGACTGTCCGTCTCCACTACCTCGCAGGGATTCCCCCCTCCCTTCTCTGTTCCTTAAATGCTCATTGGGGGAATATGGATGGGAGGGGGCGGGCACGGCTGACTCTAGCTTTAGAGAGGCAGATCCAGCTGTCAATCAGGAAGCCGGGTGGACATTGTCGGGATCCTTTCCGGTTGCAGCACGTCTCTGTGCTGTCCGCATGTAGTGGGTTGTAGCCCACTGTATTCTGACTTTGGGTCACAGGAGTACATTAGAAAAGAAAACAGTTTTTCAAATTAATATTAAATAAAATAAATGTAAAAATAATGAAAAACATTTTTTAAAAGTTCCCGCCCCCACGAGGACGCGCATCTTCACGTAACCACGCGTTGGGTGCGCCTACGTATAAAAACGACAATTGCACTAGCACTACCATTTGATATCGCCGCGCACGCCTCAGTGAGAGCAATAATTCTAGGGCCAATATTTACACGTATCTCTAAACTGATGACGTGTGGAGGCTTTTAAAGCGTCATCTGTGGACTTTTTGGGGTACTGAATTTTGCTGCAGTTTCATGGACGCACACAATTTTTAACCTCGGCATGTTGGGTATCTATGTACTCGTTGTAACCTCATCTTTTTATATTTTAAATTTTAAAAAAATGGGTATTTAATTGTGTTTTGGGACATTTAGGTGCATTTTTCATTAAATTTTGGGTTTGATAAGGAGTTGCGCTAATATCATGCAACATAAAAATTTGCAACTGCCATCATTTTAATTTTATAGGGACTTGGCTTTCAGAAAATATATAATGTTTTGGGGGTTTTAAGTAATTTCCCAGGCCTAAAATGTGGATTATAACATGCACACAAAAAATGAAAAAAAGGCCTTTATTCTTAAGGGGTTAAAGTGGTGGGTGTCTTCATGAAGCTGAATAGGGACATTTCTTGTGATGGGAAGTGGATGTGTCGGAGCTACTCGTTAGTGAGCATGCAAAAACTCTATTTTCCTATCTTAGGGTCCTGGCTAGTAAACTAGAGCGTTGGCTGCAGTGCATGTTAATGGCACACCCCAGACAAAGGGGCACGGATCCCCAAAATCCAGATGTTGGCTGTTTCCAAGCCTTGGATGCCATTCTTAACCTTAAGGTAAGCAACGACTGAATCTTTCAAGCTGTGAGTGATGTGAGAGGAGCTTTTGTATAACAATGTGACTGCCATATAAAAAAATTAAAATGCAAATAAAAAGTGACATCACTGTGGCTAAGCAAATAAAAAGTGACATCGCTGTGGCTAAGCAAATAAAAAGTGACATCGCTGTGACTAAGCAAATAAAAAGTGACGTCGCTGTGACTAAGCAAATAAAAAGTTCAGATTCGTGAAACGTGAGAGCAATACACACACTGTGCACCCCCCTGTACTCCTTCACACGGGCATTCAGTAAGTGCGGGCACCCAGACCTGTGAGGATTTGCAGATTTGCGTGTATGCATGCAGTAGGGATGTGCACGACTATATGAATGAGCCCTTAAGTCACCTTCAGAGACGAGTACAAGTGATCAGGCTGCTCTAAAGCCACCCGCATCACTCGTACTCGAAAGCACCCCCCACCTGCTGAAAAAAATGACACGGCAGCCATATTGATGTTGGTAGAACCACTTCAGGATCAGGAGGTACAGGTACATCATATGGTTCATATCAGGGGCGAAATCACAGGGCCCCATAGCAAAATTTTGTATGGAGCCCCGTGATTGCTAGTTATGCCACTTGCAGAGCCCACCTGCGAGTGACCCTGCAGAGCCCACCACAGACTCTCTATAGTGGGCTCTGCAGGGTCTCAGATGGGCTGGACACCTCTTACCTGTCAGCACTGTCCGCCTTTGTGGTCGCTGGGGTCCCGCCTCCTCTTCCGTCCTCGGGCCCCGCCTCCTCTTCTATCGACGGGCCCCGCCTCCTCTTACATCACTGGCCCCACCTGCTCTTGGGTCGCTGGCAAGTGATGTAAGAGGAGGCGGGGTTGCTCTTAGGCGTGCCACGCCTCCTTCACTGCGAACGCCGGCCTCTTCTGCCGTAGCTGCTGGCTGTCACTGACACAGCTCCGCAGCGGCTATGAGGGGAGACGCCGCTGCTGAGCTGTGTCAGTGACAGCCAGCACCCTTACATGCCATAGCGACCCAGGCGGCCCACACGGCATCAGAGGGATGCCCTGGCCGGGCCCCCCTGTGCCCAGTCCCCATAGCAGCCGCCCGGGTCGCTATGGCGATTGTTACGCCACTGGTTCATATGATTAGTTCTAGTGTTTGCACGGCGCCATCCGTGCGATCACCTCGAGCACCACCGATACTTCTATGTTCTAAGCCCGTATGGAGTGCGAGTGACATTTGGAAACAGTTGTATTGTGGACAGTCGGCCGCATACACGAGAGGAGAGGCACGTTCACCCGTCAGCATCATTATGTATGTGAATGTGCACTGTGTAAAGCGCTGCGTAAAAATTGTTGGCGCCATATAAATACCAATAATAAATAAAAATGTATTATAACTAAACCGCGTCAAACAATGCCCCGTCCCTTTTCACAAGGGGCTATTAAAGGAGAACTATGAGGTGAGTGCTTTTCACTCACCTCATAGTTCTAGCCGACCTGTGACAATGAGACTGTCACAGGTGGGCTCAGTAGATCGGGAGGTGAACGAACACATACCGGGTTCGCTCACCTCTCGATCCTGTCACGGCTCTCTGCCGTGACAGGGGGAGGGGCTGGGTTCCCCTCTCCCCGCTCCGATCTGCCAGCGCTGACTGGCGGAACGGACGGGGAGGGGGCGGGTACAGCTGGCTCTGCCTCTAGATAGGCACAGCCAGCTGTCACTCACGCAGCTGGGCGGATCCCGTCATCTATGTCGGGATCCGCTCCGGCGTCTCAGTATACCGCGAGCTGTAGCTCGCGGTATACTGAGCTTAGGGTAACGGGAGGACGCTAGTTTGTGTCCTCCCGTTACCCTAAGGAGAACTATGGGGAAAAACACTGACCCCATAGTTCTCCTTTTAATAACCTCCCCACCCCGTCCGAGTCAGAGGAGTGTGCATTCGTACCCTTGTGACCCCTTAGGATGAGTTAGCGGCTCTTTCTATGGCCGTGTGGATGTTCTTGGCCTGACACAATTACACTTCCTCTCTCATTCTTTGACTTGTCTGTGGTGTTTTTGTCCCTAGCTGCTGTCCGTACTGAACATGGTGACTGGCCGCGTGCACATGTACCCGGTGACCGAAGGGGAGACCCTGCAGTCTCTGAAGATCCGCTTACAACAGGACACGGGAATTCCAGAGGACGAGCAAGAGCTATTGCAGGCGTCAGGGCTGGCCCTGAATCCCCACCAGCCTCTCATCCAATACGTAGCAGACAGCATGGTGAGGAGATGGGATCATTTCACCCGTGTCATAGATGTGCTCTGCTCAGAATATGCATTACAAGCATTGCATTTTAAAAAGGTTCGTTCACTTTTATAGTAACATAGAAAAAGAAGAAAAGAGGATTTGGACTTTTAAGGTACTTACAAGGTCATACAAAACATATTTCGTTTTTATATAAAGTATAACAATTTTTATTTATAAATATATTTAAAATGCATGCAGGGGCGTCCCGAGGCTGGGTGACACCCGGAGCGGTGTCCTAAAAACAGATTTCCTCCCACGGGACAAATTATTTACAAATGGTTCATAGTTTACCTATGCAAATGCATTTGAATATTTGGTACAGTTTATTTGGTTCAATAAACTTACAATAGTCTGTAAAGATGGCTGGATCCACCACTGACCATCACTCAATCATGGGCGCGGACGGGAAGGGACCAATAGAAATGGGGTAGAGAGCAAGACAACCCCCAAGTCAAAACAGGAAACTACAGAGTGAGAGAGGTGTCAGAAGAGGCCAGATTTTCTATTGAGTGAGAACATCTCAAAAATTCTTCTTCTTATTGAATAGATCGCACCTATGAAAGAACAATGAACATTCTTTAAGAGACCATAAGGCAGGGGTAGCAAACCTCCGGCCCTCCAGCTGTGGTGGAACTACAAATCCCATGAGGCATTGCAAAATTCTCAGACATGACTCCCGAAGAGAGATGCATCATGGGATTTGTAGTTTCACCACAGCTGGAAGGCCAGAGGTTTGGCTACCCCTGCCATAAGGGGGTCTGCCCAAGTGGGTACAAACAAATATAATTTATCGTGTTACCTGGCATTATCCATTTCCATCACCGGTGTACCTTCTATAGCCAATAACTTGAGCTCCAAACACCGCCTCTAAGTAAGACCAATGTGGTATGTCAATATTCAGGGCAGCCATCAGGGGGGTACGGCCGATACTCATGTAAGGGGTCTGGGGTGCCCGCCCGGGTCCCTTACATGACTATCGGCCGACGGTGAAGGGCGAGGAGGCGCAGGCCTGGCCCTAGCAGCGCAGGGCCCCAGCATTGTCGCTCCAGCAGCTTCGAGACATGGGGCCGGGACTGGGGCCCCATCAGCGATGCTGCTCGTCTGATGTCGGACTGGCCGGAAGTGATGTCAGGTTAGTGACGTGACATCACTTCTGGCCTGTCCGGCAACAGGCCCCTAATCAAAGCAACAAACAAAAATCTCCATGAGTTTGTCTCTCACCACAAATATAGCCAATTCTCTGTACTTTACCTTCTCCTGAGCTCCAAACCACCTGAGAGTGTGAAAACCCCCATCCCCTCTTATATCCCTCATTATTTTTCTGCAGGTCAGTGACAGTCGCCAGGGGGAATGTGACCTGATATTTCTCTTTGATAACCGGAAGACAATGTATGAACCCCAAATTTCACACCGCCCTCATCCTGATAACGTCGCCTACGTGTGTGAGTATCACTTCTTCAGACTTTTTCTTTATAAGACTAACATTGATACTGATGGTTGGAGGTAACTCCAGGCAAATGTAAAAGACACACTAAAGAAATAAAAAATAATTGACTCTGTTTATTAAAGGAGACCCCCCCAGGATTTGTTTTTGTTTTTTAAATGTACCCTTTCAGTGAGGCTACACCAGCACTGCAAGGGTGGTTAACTGCTCGTTTGTGTCTATGTAGAAAAAAAAAACACAGATGTACTGACCCAAATCTCCGAGCTGGCTTCTTCTTAGTGTCTCCCCTTCCTCTGCAGTGGTCTAAGGTCTAGATAATTGTCATCTCTATACACTGTATATAGACATGAGAACGCTGACGAACGTTCCAATGTGCTGCGGAGGAGGGGACAGGCTGGAAGTAGCACCGTGACAGCTGGCCAGCTCGGAACTTCGGGTGAGCACATCCTTGTAATTTTTAGGGATGCACCAATACCGGTTGTTCGGTATCAAGTACGGACAAAAGGCCTTGGTCCTTAAGGGGTTAAACAGCTCCCATAAATGTATTTTTGCTGTGCATTGGTTATACGGGGTGAGGGTGTGTAGTCCTTCCATCCCTAATCTTACAACGATGGGTAAGTGACTCTGTCCTTTCTATTATTTGTCTCCAGTGCAGGACCCCAAACCCCCCCTGACCTACGTGCAGCTCCGCAGAGTGTGGGGACAGATCTGGCACACAATACGAATGCTGAAAGAGGACTGTGCCAAGCTGCAGATGGGACAACGTGCCACCATGTAAGACATAATTTATCTCCAACAGGCCTCCATCACCATGCTACATGCTGGATCGCTTTTATACACACGCGTGATTTCTCTGTTTCTACATATATGTTTTGAAATGTGTTATCTATAGAATTGGTTTTGGTTCTTGATGAACCGGCCAAAATGTGCACAGTGGGTGTCACTGTTGGCACTCGGTCAGCTGATTAACGGAGGAGATCGGAAAATCTTTAAACGAACAGAGTGGGTAGCCAATGAGCTATTATTATACAGGATTTATATAGCGCCAACAGTGTGCGCAGCGCTTTACAATATAAGGAAGACATTACAATCACAATACAATTCAAGACAAGATGGTAAGGAGGGCCCTGCCCCTGAGGGCTTACATTCTAAAAGATAGAGGCCAGTGATACATGAGGAGGTAGCTGTGTAGGGATGAATTGTTTGAGAAAGTGATAGTTCAGTGGTTAGGTTGAGGTGGGATAGGCTTCCCTGAAGAGATGAGTCTTTAGGGAACGCCTAAAGGCAGTCAGAGTGGGAGATAGACGGGCAGGTTGGGGTGGAGAGTTCCATAGGATGGGAGAGGCTCTAGAAAAGTCCTGGAGGCGAGCATGGAAGGAGTTGACGGAGCTGGAAAGCAGGAGGTCATATGAAGAGCGGAGGGGACGGTTAGGGTGATACTTTGAGACAAGGTCTTAGATATAGCCGGGGGCGGAGTTGTGGATGGCTTTGTAAGTGATTGTTAATATTTTGAATGTTATCCTCTGGGCGAGTGGAAGCCAGTGGAGGGATTGGCAGAGGGGGGCAGAGGATGGAAGCCAGTGCAGGGATTGGCAGAGGGGGGTGGGAGAAATTGAGTTTTAAAAAGTGTTGCGACATCCGGACTGACATGTCAGATAGTAGATTAGTGACACGCAAGGACACAGAGGGGGGAGTTGTGGAGTAGAGAGATAGATTTGAGTGTCATCGGCATAGCTACCGGCTCTGTTCTGGTATTTTGGCGGCTGCTGTCAGAATACAATGAAGAGAACGGGAGATTCTTCAATAAAACATTGATGGAGGACTCTGTAATGTTTTCTTTCTTCAGCCCGCAGGTTGACCAAATCATATATTCCAGTATATGGCCAGCTGATGGTTTAAAATGGGGGTAGGCAACAATGGCACTCCTGTTGTACTGAAACTACAAATCACGTCATGCCCTCTGGGAGTCATGCCTGTGGCCGCCAGTTTTGCAGTGCCTCATGGGATTTGTAGTTCCACAACAGCTAGAGTTCCAAGGTTGTCGCCTCCTGGTTTAATAAATGGGAGGCCATGGAGTTTAGTACAGATGTCCTTTTTCTGTGTTGTCACTGACGAGCTGTGTATTTCAGGGTGAACCTACTACGATACAACACGGAGCTTTCCAAAAAGAAGAATCTGATGACCTCAGAGTGCGAGCAGCTAAAAGCCAAACTGGATTTCTTCCGCAGCAGTATCCAGATTGATCTAGAAAAATATAGCGAGCAGATGGAGTTTGGCATCAGTAAGTTATCACTATTAGAGGGTAATACCAGCAACTTTTCACTTCACTCCCACAGCTTTCAGGATTAACTCTTTCCCGGCACAGCTTTCTGTAGAGAACGGTCTGAGGGATAAAATATATCAGGAGAGACTGCAGGAACTTAATACGCTCTGTCTGGAGGAAAGAAGAGAAAGGGGGGACATGACTGAAACCTGTTCAGGAGGGCAGAATTTTTAGTATGAGGCTAAGATCAAGAACACGGGGACATTACCTCAAACTAGTAGGAGGTCATTTGAAAAAGTGTGTGTGTGTGTGTGTGTGTGTGTACGTACGTACGTACGTACGGTGTGTGTGTACGTACGTACGTACGTGTGTGCGTGTACGTACGTACATGTGTGTGTGTACGTGTGTGTGTGTGTACGTACGTACATGTGTGTGTGTACGTACGTACGTGTGTGTGTGTGTGTACGTACGTGTGTGTATGTACGTACGTATGTGTGTGTGTGTACGTACGTACGTGTGTGTACGTACGTACGTACGTGTGTGTGTGTACGTACGTACGTACGTGTGTGTGCGTACGTACGTGTGTGTGTGTACGTACGTGTGTGTGTGTGTGTGTACGTACGTACGTACGTACGTACGTGTGTGTACGTATGTGTGTGTGTGTGAATTTTTAGTATGAGGCTAAGATCAAGAACACGGGGACATTACCTCAAACTAGTAGGAGGTCATTTGAAAAAGTGTGTGTGTACGTACGTACGTACGGTGTGTGTGTGTGTGTACGTACGTACGTACGTGTGTGTGCGTACGTACGTGTGTGCGTGTACGTACGTACATGTGTGTGTGTGTGTGTGTGTGTGTACGTACGTACGTACGTGTGTGTGTGTACGTACGTACGTGTGTGTGTGTGTACGTACGTACGTACGTACGTACGTGTGTGTACGTATGTGTGTGTGTGTGAATTTTTAGTATGAGGCTTAGATCAAGAACACGGGGACATTACCTCAAACTAGTAGGAGGTCATTTGAAAAAGTGTGTGTGTGTGTGCGTACGTGCGTAAGTACGTGTGTGTGTGTGTGTGTGTACGTGCGTAAGTACGTGTGTGTGTGTGTGTGCGTACGTACGTACGTGTGTGTGTGCGTATGTACGTGTGTGTGTGTGTACGTACATGTGCGTACACATATATACACCTATCAGATATCACATTGTGACCACTGAGAGGTGAAGTGAATAACATTGATTATCTGGTTACAATGGCACCTGGAAGTTATTGTAATGCAACAGTTTTATTTTGTTTTACTGCAGGAAGATAGAAAATGGATTGCTTCTACATATGTATCCATTGCATTGCTATTTTGGTTTTTGTAGAGAGGAGAGCCCAGCCTCCTGTGACAGCGCGGCCTGTCTCCGCCCACACACCGCTCTGCCAGACTGTGTTTCGGCGGCCGATATATCGGTGCATCCCTAATCATTTGTACGGTCTCATTTGTAACTGGATTTCTTGCATGTGTATCTAAAAATGTATTAAGTGGCCATATTGTTTCTCTCACCATCTGGGAGGATTAGAGTGGAGAAACCTTTATTAAAGGTGGAAAACAGCAGATGGTAAGCGAGTACTACAGCAGGAAGAAACTTCCATCTTGGACCCTGAACAAGGCAATGCTTTTAGGGCCCTTTCATACCATCTATTTGAGGTGATGCATGGTAACACACATTAAATGCATTGGTACGATACAATGCCATTCATTCGGATTGGCACCCAACACACCTGGCACCAGACGTGCACACTACCGTGCACTGCAAAAGAAAAGGTGAATGCAAATAAGGCTGATAAAGTAATTTTATTTCTTGTACCTTGTTTCTAAGCAGGCCTTGTGTATGCCGTATACGAGTTGGCCTTCAGTGTGCCAGTGTTTTCCTTCTTCACCATCATTTAATCCTCACATTATTATATCTCTTTACAGCCTCTGAAAAGCTGCTGTCTACATGGAGAGAGATGGAGGAGGCAGTGGAGCTGTGTGGGAGGGTAAGTGACCTCCATTCTGGATTTATAGGCACTATGAGAGTTTTCAGTACACTTGTTAGAGTTTAAGGATTAAAGATCCATTCTGTAACCCGTAACCGGCATATATACAGGTGAAACTCGAATAATTAGAATATCGTGCAAAAGTAATGGCAGTAATTACTGCAAAAGGGGCCCAAACCAAGTACTGAGTACATATGCATGCTTGTACTTTTCAGATGTCCAATATTGTTCTATGTACAATCCTTGTTTTATTGATTGCATGTAATAATCTACTTTTTTGAGGTTGTGGATTTGGGGTTCTTGGGGTTTTCATGAGCTGTAAGCCATAATCATCACAATGATGACAAATCACGGCTTGAATTATCTTGCTTTGCATGTAATGAGTCTATCTCATATATTAGTTTCACCTTTTAAGTTGCATTAGTGAAATAAATGAACTTTGCACGATATTCTAAATGTTCCTTAAAAGAGAACTATGGTGTAACCTTTTTTTCCCCATAGTTCTCTTTAGGCTCACGGGAGGACATATACTAACCTCCTTCCGTGACCCAAAGCTCAGTATATAGCGAGCTACAGCAAGTGATATATTGAGAGTGCCGCAGTGGGGATGGATCCCGACAATACTGTCTTGATCCACCCAGCTGCGTGAGTGACAGCGGGCTCTTCCTATCTAGAGGCAGAGCCACCTGTGCCCGTCCCCTTCCCTGTTTGTACCTCCAGTCAGCGCTGGAGTATCGGAGAGGGGAGAGGGGAATCCCTGCAGTGAGATGATCGGGAAGTGAGCGGATCGGCTGCATGTTGCTGCTCACTTCCTGATCGATAGAGCCGACCTGTGACAGTTTCTTTGTCACACGTCGGCTCTAACTATGAGGATCAGTGGAAATCACTCACCTCATAGTTCTCCCTTCAGTCTTGCACGGTTGTACCGGCTCCTCTCCCTCACTGAAATCGCTTACTCTGATTTCACTGCATGCTGCGAGCTTCTCATTAGAAAATGCAGCGCGTCAGATACAGCCTGCCTAATTTCTAGACCGGATCATCATCTCGGCGATTCCTCCCCAGCCGGACTGTCCCTGGCTCGATCCTTTCATTCATTGGATTTCAATTCTTTCAATGGTGGAGGTCTGCTTCCCCCTCACTGAATATTTCTTATTGCTATTTATATATTTACGCAGTGCTCATTCACATCAGCCCCCGCCCTCAAGGAGCTTACAATCTAAGGTCCCTATCTCACATACACACATACATACAGGGCCAATGTAAACAGGAGCCAATTAACCTTCCAGCATGTCTTTGGAGTGAGGGAGGAAATCGGAGTACCTGGAACATGCAAACTCCTTGCAGATAGTGAACTGGCCGGGATTCGAACCGGGAACCCCCAGTGCTGCAAGGCAGAAAGACTAACCACTACACCACTGTGCTGCCGCCAGTGTGACTTTACATATGGATAAAAAGAACTTGCTTGGAGGACCTTTGGAGTGCTGGTGACTTACTATTCTATGTTTATCTGATCCTGTTTTTTATTCCATGTGTAAAGTTACATCACCAATTCTATAGTGCCAACAATTTACGCAGCACTTTACATAGTTGCACATTCACATCAGTCCCTGCCCTCAAGGAGCTTACAATCTAAGGTCCCTATCTCACATACATACATAGAGGGACAACTTAGAGAGAAGCCAATTAACCTTCCAACATGTCTTTGGAGTGTGGGAGGAAACCGGAGTACCTGGAGGAAGCCCACGCAAGCCCAGGGAGAACATGCAAACTCCAAGCAGATAGCGTCCTGTCCAGGATTTGAACCGGGGACCCCCAGTGCTGCAAGGCAGAAGTGCTAACCACTACCGCTATAAAAAATGCATTTAGTACACTCTTCGTTATTCTATTTATCATCATCTACCAGTCTTGTTTGGTAAAGTCTAAGGCCATGTATTGCGACTGAAATTGAAATCAAGTTGACAACGGGAGTACCTGCCATGGTTGCTAAAATGAGGGCCGAGGTGCCTGACACCAAAAATCCTCTTTGTAGTCTGTAATTGTAGCTAAAACGGTGCCGTATTTCATGCCCTTGGGGTGTGTAGTTGAGATGCCTAGACTTGTCAGAGTTCCTGTATAGGTCACGTCAGCCAGAAACTGTTTGAAATATACATTTACTTTTAATGGAATTTCCATTTATTTGTGTAATTCCCAGGAGCAGGAAGTACAGCAGTTGGTGGAGAAAATGATGGCCTTGCAAACAGACAGTGTGGATCTGCAAAGAAATCCGCTGGGCAGGAGGCACCGTGGGACTCTGGATGACATGTAAGTGATCAGATGGGGTCCACAGTCCCCCAGTTGTTGAATAAGAACTAAAGGAGTCAATTTAAAAAGCCAAGTGCTACAGCTCGCGGTATACTGAGCCTAGGGTGACGGGAGGACGCCAGTTTGTGTCCTCCCGTTACCCTAAGGAGAACTATGGGGAAAAGCCTTAACCCCATAGTTCTCCTTTAACCACTTTCCCACGGGTTCATGGAAATGCAGGTCCTCCGCTGAAAGTGGTTATACCAAGAAAACGGCTGCTGCACAGCCGTGTTCTTGGTAGCATTTTAAAGGAGAACTATGAGGCGAGTGCTTTTCACTCACCTCATAGTTGTAGCCGACCTATGACAATGAGACTGTCACAGGTCGGCTTAGTAGACCGGGAGGTGAGCGAACATATACCGGCGTTCGCTCACCTCTCGATCCTGTCACAGCTCTCTGCCGTGACAGGGGAGAGGCTGGATTCCCCTCTCCCTGCTCCGATCCGCCAGCGCTGACTGGCGGAACGGACGGGGGAGGGGGGTGGGTGCAGCTGCCTCTAGATAGGCAGAGCCAGCTGTCACTCACGCAGCTGGGCGGATCTCGACATCGATGTCGGGATCCGCTGCGGCGTCTCAGTATACCGCGAGCTATACTGAGCTTAGGGTAACGGGAGGACGCTAGTTTGTGTCCTCCCATTACCCTAAGGAGAACTATGGGGAAAAGCCCTGACCCCATAGTTCTCCTTTAAAAACAGCCGGCGATTCATGTTTAAATACAATTGATCCGGCGTCTGTACAGGTGCCGGATCGCTTGTACAGTGCGCCGCCGTGTGTGAGCCCAGGACCGGCATGAAGGGTCTCCCTAGATAGATCGGAGGAGAGATCAGCAGCTTCTAGCCGCTGATCTCTCCTCCAATTACTGGACCTGGAAGTGATGTGTATTACATCACTTCCGGTGTCACTGTACACAATCTCCGGCTCTTAGAGCCAGAGAAAGAAGCTGGGGAAGCAGATCTGTGCTTCATCAGCTTCTTTGGGGTCCCTAGGTGACATTAGGGGTCTGAAAGACCCCTGATGTCTCCATAAAGAGGACCTGTCACAATAAATTTGCTATTACTTAGGGGGCTTGTTATCCCCCTATGTGATAGCAATAAAAGAAAGTGTTAAAAAAATAAAATGATAGTAACATAAAAAAATAATAATTTTAAAGTCCCCCGCCCCCCACGTGCTCGCACATAAAACGCAAACACGCGTCGGATGCACCTACGCGCAAAAACAAAAATTGCGCCACATATGTTTAATGTCGTCGCGAGCATCGGAATGAGAGCAATAATTCTAGGCCCATCAATCACTGATAACACTAAACTGATAAGCCGCAAAAGCGTTTAAAACGTCGCCTATGGGAAATTTTTGTTATTGTAGTTTTTTTCCGGTTTCACGGACGCGTGCAATTTTAAGGCTTGACATGTTTGGTATCTATTTACCCGGCTAGAACCCGTCTTTTATATTTTACCAAAAAATTGGGCATTATATTCTGTTTCTTTGCACTAAATTTCATTTTAGTGTATTTTATCCTAAAATTACTGATTTGATAAACATTTGCGCAAATACCGTGCGACATACAAAATTGCAACTAGCGTCTTTTTATTCTACAGGGCCTCTGCTTTCAGAAAATATATCATTGTTTGGGGGTCTGAAGCTGTTTTCTAGCCAAAAATTCTGATTTTATCATGTGTGCGCAAATGTAAGACATTGCTCCGGTCAGCAAGTGGTTAATAGCCGCAAACGAGCGGCATCCACACGGATTGAACAACAACATTAGCATTTTCGTCCCGCATGGAAAACTGTGCAAGAAACACGAACGCTATATGTGAATGGAGCCTTAGATCAAGGGTGGGCAACTGCGGCCCTCCATCTGTGTTTTAAACTATAAATCCCAACGTGCCTCTGCCTCAGGGAGTCACGCCTGTAACTGTCAGTCTCTGCAGTGCCTCATGGGACTTGTAGTTCCACAACAGCTGGTGGGCCGGAGTTGCCCACCCTTGGGTCAGATGCTAAAAACGTTTCTATTGTGTATTCACAGGGAGGACCAGGCCAGGGATCTTTACAGGAAGCTACGAGAGAGGCCGAGAGGTTTGTAGAAACTTCCCTTTGATGCTGTTTTTGGTCTTTAGAGGCTTTAACACCGGTTCTTATCATCATGCGTTTGTTTCCGCAGATCAGAGGACAGGAGGGGACAGCCAAGAGATGGTGCGCCTCCTCCTCCTGGCGATCCAGAGCTTTGAGAAGAGAGTTGTTTTAATTTATGACCAGCTCAGGTATTTATCCGAGTAATGGGGAGTTCCTCTATATCAGGGATGGCCAAACTCCGGCCCTCCAGCTGTGGTGAAACTACAAATCCCATGATGCATCTCTCTCCGGGAGTCGTGTCTGTGAGAATCTTGCAATGCCTCATGGGATTTGTAGTTCCACCACAGCTGGAGGGCCGGAGTTTGGCTACCTCTGCTCTACATAGTAGTATTTGGTCATATTCATTGTATTAATGTTCTTCACCTGCACACTGTACAGCGCCTTGGCCTAATAGGAAGGTGGCGCTGGCAGTGACAGGACAGATGGTGCCATGTAGAAATCCAGCAACGGTCAAGTAGTCATCAGCACACAGAGTATATCATCGATACCATTCCAATTTATTGAATCGTCATCATGGATTGTCATACAGCCAATGTTTCGGGGCCATTTAGGGTCCCTTCCTCAGGACGACATAGTGGCAGTATGCTGTCCTGAGGAAGGAACCCTGCCTTTCACAGAAATAAAATAAATAAAGCAAGCAGGGCATCTAACCCCTGACCTTTCTGTCCAAAACTACAATAAAAGGTTGGATTTAGATACAGTGTAATGTTACATAATGTGTTGCTCTGCATCCTCCCACACAGTGTTTCCAGTGGCTCTGGTTGTTTGTTCATGTTTGGGTTTCCTTTTCTTCTGCAGTAAAACAGTGCTGTGTAAGAGGAAAGCTCTGGAGCTGGCTCCCCGGGTGAAGGAGGTTATGAACTTGATGAGAGAAGATGAGAAGATGGTGGCGAGGAGACAGGAGAAGAGACAGCAGGAGCTGTGGGACCTACTCAGGATCGCTTGTGTAAGCAGAACCAAGGATGGCTTCTACATTCTACACTTCTGGCCAGTTCATAGTCATTAGGAAACTTTCTGGCAGACAGACAGAGGTCCTTGCATCCTCTGATCATCTGAATCAATGAAGTGCACAAGCATGATTATTAGGGATGCACCGATAACAGGAACTTTGGTATCGAGTACCGATATTTTTCTTCGGTACTCGCCAATCCCATACCGGAACTCCCATTCAGGAAGCCAGGTGGCATGTAATGACTCGCCACCTGGCTTCCTGATTAGCCGGGAAGCCGGACGGCATGTAAAGATTGGGGATGCACCGATATATCGGCGGCCGAAAATGGCACTTTTGGCTAAATGCCGAAAGTGCCATTTTCCTGCCAATACATCGGCGCATCAGTGATTTCTTTCCTCCCCGCTGGACGCTGTTCTGTGTCCCAGAGGGAAGGAGAGAAAGTGTGACAGCCGGCCGGGCACTGCGGGAGGAGAGTGCCGTGAGCGGTTGGTGTCTTTCCTCCCACACCGCTCAGCCTCCTATCACAGTCCGGCAGACAGGTGGAACGGAGACAGCCAGCGTTGTCATTGGAGGCTGGGCTCTCCTCTCGCACCGCTCACTCAGCCTCCTGTGACAGTGCGTGTCAGAGAAGAGAGCGGGCTACATACACTCAGTGATCGCGGAGTGTTTGTAGATAATTGAGGACAGAGTATGGTTACTATATCCTCAATTATGAATGAATGGGAAGTGATCTACATCCCCTCCTGTTCATTCATGATTGTGGATATAGTAAACAAACAATGTCCTCATGTTATGAAGGAACAGGAACACTCAGTATAAAGGATTCCTGATCATTCATAACAGGGGCTGCAGACAAAGAGATTCAGGACTCTGTGTTCTCAATCTCTTTTTCTATTTTAAAAGGGAAATATCAGGGGTCTGTTTAGACCACTAATATTTCCCCGAAGCCCCTAAAAGTAAAGTAAATAAAAATGTTTAATAAAAAATGAATACAAATAAATGTAAAAAAATGTAAAAGTTTATAAAAATAAAATATTTTAAAAATGTTAAAAAATGAAAAATAATTTTTTTTTTCGGTTTTGGCCTGACAATTTTTTCTATTTCGGTTTTTAAATTTCTATTTTGGGGGGCTGCTAGTAAAGGCTCGCCACCCGGCTTCCCGATTAGCAGGAAAGCCGTCCCCATGCTTCTCGTCACTGGGTGACAAGTAAGCATGGAGCGGCTTTCTGGCCAATCGGCAAGCCAGGCCCCATGTAATGATGAGGCGCCCGACTTCCTGATTGGCCGGGAAGCCGGTTCCATGCTCCGTCGTCATGAGGTTACGAGGGAGCATGAAGCCGGCTTCCCGGCCAATCATAAAGCTGGGCTCCATGTCATTACACGGCGCCCCCGGAGCACCAGAGCCAGGTCCCAGCTGCAACCCTGGTAGTTCTCATGAAAATGCCAAGTATCTGGACTGGTACTCGAAAAGTATCTGTGCATCCCTACATAAAAATACAGATTTTACCTTTTATTATGATGCTTTTGTCTTTTTTTGCTCAGAGCAAAGTGCGAGGTCCAGGAATCGCCCCTCCTGTCCAGGAGAGTGTAAAGAAAAGGTAATGTAATGGCATTGACTGTCTGTAACAGGATGTGGTAAATAAAGAAGAATGAAAAGTCCAAAGACATTCATTACTGCTTTGTGGAGCTTTGCTGGCTGCAGTTCTGTGCACTAAAAGGCATGCCACGCCACTCTGATCTCTGGGTTGCAGCCTCTTTGGTACAGAGAGAGGCACTGCATGGTGACCAAATGTATGTAGACAATGAGTACTCTCCTTGTCGCACTCCTTACCGATATGTCCCTTGTAGTGGGGGGTGCTCGCAGTGACTGCGGATGGCGCCGCGAATGTCAGCAAAATTGTAGAAATGTCACCAGCACACCAGTCCTATTAAGATAGCAAAAGCTTCATTTATTGAAGTTTTTTGTCATATGACCAAACAAGCGCTTTCGGGACCGCGCAGGGTCCCTTCATCAGGCTTTAGCATTGACGCTAAAGCCTGATGAAGGGACCCTGCGCGGTCCCGAAAGCGCTTGTTTGGTCATATGACAAAAAACTTCAATAAATGAAGCTTTTGCTATCTTAATAGGACTGGTGTGCTGGTGACATTTCTACAAATGTATGTAGACACCCCTCAAGTTATTGGGTTCAGGTGTTTCCAGTGAAGGGTACTTGTTAGTTCTACAATATTCACAAGAGACCAAAATACAACAAAATACATGTAGCATATTGTTCTGTTGTGATTATTATATGTGGTGGACCCCAGAGGGTTGGAAGGCCTTTTTCTTTTTTTTTTTAGTAGTGTGACAATAGTACAAAGACATTTTAAATAATTGTGCACTTCCAACCTTGTGGGGATAGTTTAGCAAAGGCCATTTTCTGTTCCACCATGACTGCCCCCTGTGTACAAAGCCAGCTCCACTCCACAAAGACATACCGGTAGTTTGATGAGTTTGGTGTGGAGGAACTTGAGTGTCCTGCACAGAGCCCTGACCTCAACCCTACTGAACAGCTTTGGGATGAATTGGAACACTGACTGAGGGCTAAGTCTTCTCATCCACCATCAATACCTGACCTCAACCCTACTGAACAGCTTTGGAAGGAATGGTATTGCCAGTTGTGAGCCAGGTCTTCTCATCCAACATCAGTACCCGGACTCACAAATGCTCTTTTGGCCGAATGGGAAAATAAGTCCCACAGACACCCTTCAAATTCTTATGGGAGTCCTTCTCAAAAGAGTGGAGGCTACTACAGCTGTGAAGTGGGAACAACTCCATTTTAGCGTTGAAGCTCCATAAAGTTTGGTGTGGAGGAACTCAAGTGTCCTGCACAGAGCCCTGACCTCAACACTACTGAGCACCTATTGGATATATTAGAATGCCGACTGTGAGTCAGGTCTTCTCATCTGACATCGGTACCTGGATTCACAAATGCTTTTTGGGTTGAATGGGCATAAAATTCCCACAGACATATTTCAAAATCTTAATAAAGGAATGTAAACTGGGTTTCACTCAGTGTGCATCTATGTCACCTTCGGAACATGGGACATATCCAAACAAACTATATATACATATAATGTTCAATGTGCATCTTTATTAATCCGACTACAAATACCCAAACCCTTAAAAACATTTTTTTTTTAAATCCCCAAGCCATGTCTGCAGAGCCCCCTTCAGTGTATAAGTAAAAACATTATAGCCATATAGTTGTATCCATCAAATATAAAAAGCAGATCCCTTTTCCTCATAATGTGTCCTCCGATATCAGTATCAATGAATAAAGGCCTTCAAAACTCATATCAATATATACTTGTTATTTCGTTGGCTATCACACATCAGATGTCATATACTGTGTGTGTGTGTATATGTATATGTATATAAGCTATATATATATATATATATATATATATATATATATATATATATATGGTGTTTGTGATAACTTTTTCCTAGCTATAGTTCGCACTCTTATTGAGACACTGTAAGTAATCTTCTTGAAGATATAAGAAGTGCAAAACCTTCCTAAGCATAGGGCACTTCAAAATCTTGTGAAAAACTTCCCTAGAAGTGTGGAGACTATGTCCTCAAAGGAAGGTTAACCCCATACTATTGCCCGTGGTTGTGGAATGGGTTTGGTTGTCAGGTTTTTTCTGCACACATTTGGCTAGGGATGCACTGATACCGGTATTTCGGTATCGAGTATGAGTACCGATTTTTTTTTTTCAGTTCTTGCGGATTCCGATACCGAAAGTTACATTAAGGAAGCTGAGGCGGCGTGTAATGACTCACCACCCGGCTTCCCGGTTAGCAGGGAAGCCATCCCCATGCTTCACGTCACTAGGTGACGTGGGAGCATGAAGCCGGCTTCCTGGTCAATCAGGAAGCGGCTGCTGCATAATTACACAGCGCCCAGCTTCCTGATTGGCCAGCCTCCCGACCAATCGGAAACCCGGGCAGTGGATGTTTACACGTTGCCCGGCTTCCTGATTGGCCGGGAAGCCGGCTCCATGCTCACTTGTCACAAGTGACGGGAGAGCATGGAGCCAGCTTCGCGGCCAATCGGGAAGCCGGGCAGCGTGTAATGACTTGCTGCTCGGCTTCCTGATGTCTGAAGTATCGGGCTAGGCATCGGAGCATTTGGGCAAGTAGGAGTACTTGCCCAAATACTCGGCATCAGCACCGATACCGATACTAGTATCATTGCATCCCTACTTTTGGCCATAGAGTGTAAATTGTAGATGATATGGCCAAGATAATCAGAATTACAGTACCTAGCAATCTGACACGGCTGGATCACCGGCTAGTTAACCTACGTGGGTGCCTTGGGCCCCAGGGGCATTTAGAGCCCAAGTGCCAGCCCAGCCGCCCGCAGAATGATGTTTTGTAAGTTATTGGTGCAGCGATGTAGTTATCACACTAAAAGAGACAAGACTCAGCCGTGATGATGCATTGTCAGCGTTCCTTGCCTTGTGAGACTGATATCAGCTTTACTAACAGAATCAGCTTTACTAACAGAATCACCTTATGTGGATGGCAGGTAGCACATTGAAATATTTGATGCTCTCTAGTTCTGCTGCATTCACTGATTTCAATGGATTCGTATTTTAAATTGGTAAATGGCTCTGCAGTTTTTGTAATGCTTTGTTTATCTCCCCACAGCGAGGATCTACTTTCAGAGTCACGTAGGCTGTGCGGAGACCTGGAGTCTTCTGTGAGAAGCTTAATGGCAGAGCCAGATTCCAGTCTTATGGTAAGTACTCTCTGTTGTGGAAGCGCATATCATTGCTCGTCATGGTGGATGAAATCGGAACTTGCATCTAAAGGTCCACTGATCTTGTAAACCCCCAAGTGTAAAAATAAAAACTTACTTTACACACCAGCTCCCAGCTGCTTTCATGTAGCCAATAGTAATGTCACTTGGCCTTCTCCCAGGAAATGCCAGGGAGCCGAAATCTCACACATATGTGAAAGAGTCTTCTCGCAAGATTTGAGATCCTAAACTTTACCCAGTAAAATATTTCTGTGAAGGTTCTCAATCATCCAGGTCATGATATATCTGTAAAAATGAAATCAAAGCAACTGGACTTGCTGTATTTTGCTGGTCACCTGACTAGCTTTCTCAGTTCAGAATGACTTGTATACAAATTATCTGGGAAGAAATATGGTGAACGTTGCTCCAATCAACATAATCGGTTTATCATAACTAGCATGGGGTCAGAGACCTCGTGGAGTTAAGGTGTTGATTTCATTTGCATTAGAGGTGCACCGAAATGGAAATTTTAAAACCGAAACGAAACCGAGATATTGTAGAGAGGAAAGCCCAGCATCCTGTGACAGCGCTGTCTCCGCCCCCACACCGCTCTGCCGGACTGTGATAGGCGGCTGAGCGGTGTGGGAGGAGAGACGCTGGCCGCTCACAGCTGATATATCGTGCATCCCTAATGTGCATGATTGGAGATGGCAGGTGTTATTACCTAAATCCAATCAACACCATGATTATCCAATCATGCAAATGCCATTAACACCTTCTCTGACCCCCATGCTGGTTATGATAATCAGATTACTGATTCTGCGATTCAGACTCTGAATTCTGAATTGAGAAAGCTAGTCGGATGACCAGCGGGAAAGTACAGCAAGTCCAGTTGACATGATTTAATTTTTGCAGATATTTCCCGGTAAAAGGCCCGGTGATGTCATATGCCCATAGACGAGATAATTGGTAGTCGATAGACTGGTCTTTTTAAAAGCAAGATCCACTTTAATTCATGCTTGAGTTGACCTTAAACCAGGTTCAGGCAGACTTTACCCCTTAATAGAAGACATACATTTCTTCAGAACAGTTTTTTTTTCTATGGTTAGGGTACATTTATTATAACCTTTTGGCTATTATTTTTAAAAGGTTTCTCATGACTGAAATTCTTCTTTTTCCATCTGAATTGCCTTTTGCACAAGAGCAAGTCGTCTCTGTAAACCTGTTTCAGTAATGCATTTGCCAGAACTCGTCTTGGCTGGCAGACATCAGAGACAGTCAGTTGGAGAACAGTTCAGAGTTGGGGAATTTTTACAAATGCAACATGGAGCCAGTCTTCCTGGGGCGACTTTAAAGTACAGATGAACCTTTATTAAGACGTATGCTAACCCACCCTCCCTTGTCCTCTTGAACTAAAGCTGGCCATGTACCTATAGTTTATCTGCAGATTTTCTATGGTCAGATGGAAGAAGTGCAACAGATTCCTCCGTCTATGCTAAACTGTGTGGGTGGAGGAATCTCACGCTGGGCCAAGCTTCAGTATCTTGCTAGTCGGCCCCGCTGGCTCTCAAAACACCTGAACAATGCCTGTATCCAATCAGATTGTTCAGGTATTTTGAGAGCCAGCAGGGCCGACTTGCAAGATACTGAAGCTTGTCCCAGCGGGAGATTCCTCCGTACACACAGTTTAGCGTAGGTGGATGAATCTGTTGCACTTTTTCCATCTGACCATAGAAAAGCTGCAGATATTCTATAAGTTACACTAAAGCTGGCTATACATGGATCAATTTTCTGCCATGTCCTAAGCAGGACGTGGCAGAAAATGGAGCAGTAATGGAGCTGAGTGGCGTATGCACCAACCAGCTCAACAAAGTTACATTTTTTCGATCGCCTATTGTCGAAGGAGCCGGGTGCAAAATTCCCAGTCTGCTGCTGTCTCTGTTCTGGTGTTCTAGCAGCTGTAAGCACCGGTTGTTAGACTACCACGGCCAACAGGGTACAGCATGGATGGGGGAACCCTGTGATTTTTCTCAGCTGAATGAAAAAACAAAAAACAAATCTTGCTTTGTATCGCCAGGTTAAAACTTCTGCACTGCAGCTTCTCACTTCTTAGTTTAGTAGGACAGCTCTCTGGCTGAAATCCACTCAGACTTGCACCTGAATAGATGGATGGAGCGGGTGGGCAGTAGTGATGGGCTCGGGCGTGTTCGCAGCTCCACGTGCCGAGTTCGCCAGGAAGCTGACAGCGCCACAGCGCCAATCACAGGTAGACATTATCCCGGTACGCAGCTGCAGAGATTGTGAAATTTCTCTGTGCTTGTGATTGGCGCTGCGGCGCTGTCAGCTTCCTGGCGTGCCCAGCACGTGGAGTTGCGAACACGCCCGAGCACATCACTAGTGGGCAGTAGTGGTCCTAGGAAGGTGTGTGTGTAATGTTGATTAATTCAGGAGATCTAGGGAGGTTGTTAGTAGTTGGTGTACATCTTATTAAAGGTATAGTTGTCCTTTAAATTCCAACCAGGACAATTGTACCATTCACATGGGTGAGACCCCCAGCCAACGAGGGTCGTGATAGCACTAATCCTTGGTGACAGTCCGTTATTTCCGCTCTGCATGTTCTGTTTAAAGGTTGTGGAAGTTGTGTACATAATTTATCTTTCAGCTCTTCCATTTCGCAGTAAGCCGGAATCACACAGCTGGCTCCCATCCCTCCCCACCCCCCCAGTCCCATACTTTGGTTTGTCTGATCACACATGGAATGCATTTTGTTCTGCATTGTTAATGTATTTTTTTTTTTCTTTTGCAGTCATTTGATTGGTCATGGCTCCCTCCACAGGAAGAGGAAGCAGGAGGCGGATGTCAGATCACAGCAACGTGAGGCTCCCCAGCCACGGCAAAGGATTACAAGCGGACATTTGTGCCTTTTTAATATGTACATGTCTCCCTTAGACAGCGGAGGCAGGCTAAACCTTAGATCTAAATGCCTATCAGTTCCTCAAGAACCAATCGGCTTGTACCACCGCGTATAGAAAAGGAAAGCGAGAAGCTGATTAATTGCAATGGGCAACCCAGGCAGGTCTTATATATAAGAAGCCCTTTTTCCCCAGTACTTTAGGGTTCAGGGCTCAGGACCTGACAGTGGGAAATGTTGGGCTCAGGGTTTGCAGTGATTAAAAAAAAAGGAAAAAAAATCCCATTCCATCTTTGGCTGACCCTAAAACTTACCCCCCAAACCATGAAATGAAACTAAATATACCCTTTAGAGTTAACCTTACCATATCCTTAACTAGATCAAAAAAAATTAACCCCTAATTGTTAAGGCATATCTCC